TTAGTTCAGCACTCTATGAGAACCCAGAGCCTCTGACCAGTAAACTAACCCATAAATTTATAACTGCTGAATCTGTGTGAAAACTTAACAAACTTTAAAATGTTATTCACTGCTCTTGTGACTCAAAACAATAGTAAGTAAATAATTTGTAATATATTATCTTTGTGAACATAACACCTGCTGAATTACTTTTTTTTTTACTACTAACTATAACAGCACAGGAAGTCACTGTGGCGTTAGGGGCTAGACACCCGCCTGTGGGTCGGAAGGTCTTGGGTTCGCGTCCTGATGGAGCTGGACTTTTTTTTAAAAATGACCTTGATTCCCAGGCCTCCAACATGGCTGTGGTGTGATTATGTCTTCAAGAAGAGAAGGCCACAGGCCTGCAACACGGCTGTGGTGTGATTATGTCTTCAAGAAGAGAAGGCCACAGGCTTCCAACATGGCTGTGGTGTGATGTATGTCCTTCATTGATCCAAATAATTTGGTTTCCACCAAAATGCCAACAGGCTAGACCTGGGATCTTTCTTTCTTCTTCGCGTTCACCAGCTGTAAACTCAGGTGGAAAATTCTAGCTGTTCGTCCACTTCTAGACTGCAGTCCTGTTCCAGAACTTGAGTGTTGCGTGTGCATCCATTTGACAGATCTGACTAATTTATATGCAGACTGTTGGTTTCTTGCATCTCAGGCAGATGCACTCCGACTTCGAAGGAAGCTCCCAATTAGTTGACTCTTAATACATGCTTTAGGTGGGTCTATTCTTGTTTTCCCCACAATAAGGCCCGGGAACCCAAATGGGGAGCATATGTTCAATATTCTTGGGTATCTGTAAGAGAGATCTCTCTGCTGCACCTAGAGTTGTATGCAGAACATGTTCAATATTCTTGGGTACCTGAAAGTTCTGAGTCCCCAATCTTGACTTTCTTGTACAGATGGTTGTGGAGTCTAGTTGACAGTCTAAATTTAAAGGTCTGTTTCTTTCATGTGAGGAGGTCAACTGTGTTCTATATGGGAAGTCTTCTAACAGGTTCTAATGGTTGCCTTGATCTGGAGTTGAATCTCTTCAAGCTCATAATGCATCTTACTCTTTATTTGTTGCTCGCAATGTTCGCTAAGTAGTCCTCTTGCCTTATCAGTGCCATGGATATGTGAAAAGTTGTACCCCCCAATACAAAATATTTATGCCATGGCTGATTCTAAGCCAACAAACACGTGCAGTACCAACCTTCTACTGGAGGCTCTGGTTTAGACACCAGGTAATCTGTGGCAATTTTAGTAAAGATCGCACCTGAAAGCAAAAGGATGCAGATATTTTATTTTAAAATATACTCGACTAAAGTTTAATAGCCATGAAATGAGTAGTATCTTAAACTCTTAACAACTTGGCACAAATGTTCTGCCTGTTTTCTTATGCACTAATGAATAAGCCTGAGTTTTACCGACTACTTGTTGTCTGTCAACACTAAACGGTGGGCAGCCTATAAAACACATGATATCGCACATTACACCAACAGCTTTAGTCACTGGGATGCCTTATCCTAGGAAGGGAAATGCAACCCCAAAACTTAATATTATGACAGGGCAGACCAGACCTTTAGTCTTGGTAGGCAATTGGTCTAGTAGGAAAGATCTGACTAGTGGGCAGACGGAGCACTGATCAACTAATCCACCAGCTTTTGCAGCATGCTTTGTTTCAAACATGTTGTTGTTACATTTCCTATGAAGTAAACAAGGTAGGCCAAGAGGGGATCATGCTGCATGGTCAACACAAAATTTCTATAATACTGTCCAGGCTCTGTGCCATGGAGGAGGAGAAGCATGTAAAGGGTGAGGATTGTATTAATGGTCCTGAAATTTCATGATCTAATTGTGGAAGATTTTCTTAAATGCAAGTCTTACTTGTTCTTCTTCCTCTG